TTATTTCAGTAGAAAGTAGAATATACTCTCATCTCATTCTCTATTAATGTAAAAGTTTTCTTTGTACCTCGGTTTGTGGCTCTTTGACTACTACTGATGTAATAAAATTGAATTCATTCATTCAAGTCTCAACTTTTGTTCAAATTACAGATGCATGAAGGAGGATATGATCAAAAAATGAACGAAACAGTTAGTGTGGTGACAGCAAAGACCACTGAAATTGGGCAGAAGACATGGGGAATCATGAAAGGGGTCATGGCAATGGCTTCACAGAAGGTCGAGGAATTCACAAAGGAAGGGAGCAACTGGAAAGCTGATGATAGACAGCAGACTAATGGCCTGAAGAATGCCTATTATCATGACTTTGGAGGGAAGGGCAGTGGTGGCTTGCCCAACGAACATTCAAGGGGACAATACAATTCTACGAGCACGTGGGATGACTGGGACGAGAAGGATAGGAAAGGCGGGCCTGGGAAGAGTCGTCAAAATGGCGATGATTGGGCTGGGTGGGACGATGTGAAGGATGAGGACTCTGACGAAGATGATAAGCACCGCCACAGCTCGTCGGGAAAGGGCGTTAAATCTGGTTCTCGGTGGAGTGATGGTGGTTTCCATTAGTACTCTTTGCTTCTCTTTCCAGGCTTTTTTGTTTCTTAATATAAAGATCTGTGAGAAAAGGATTGGGGACCTCTAGACCAATAAATATTATTGTATATGAAACTTGGTCTTGTATTTTGTTTCCTGATTCCTTGACCCCCTTGTTTTTAATGTTTTGATACCTGAACGTGTCCGTGCTGAAAGGCTAGTTGGTGCTTAATATTTATGATGATAAAATTGTAATTTTGGATTTTTTGAATTTGACATGTGTGGGTTACCGTTTGCTTATTATTGTTGTTATTATTCTCAAAATAGGTCATAATTGTGTATTGCACTGAAGTTTTTTTTGTCAAATACTTGTGAAGTATTATCTCTGGCTTAGGATGAATAGTGTAGCATTACTCTTGCCAAATATAGAGGCTTAAATGTATTAGAGTTACT